GCTTGTTGATTTGCAGAATTATTGTCATATAATAGCATAAATTGTTTCTGACAAGGTCTTTTGAAGAGAAGGAAGCTTGATTTGTTCAGGACTTCTCATAGTATATTACTCTCCTCATGTGGGGTGCTGAGTATTACCAGTATTTTGAGTGAGTCTTAGTGAGAAATAAAAAAGGAAACTTGTTCAGATGTGTAATTTGTTGGATATCACTCTTGCTAATTAATAAAGTATTGATGATTTTTATTTCTTCAGCCCTTGAATTCATCCTTTATTTCTTTGATCTAGGTTTAAGACCTTTAGTATCATGAGCTGGATGGTAAAATTGATCTAATAACTTATACGGGAGAAAAAGAAACAAAGATAATATAGCATTTCATCATGTCAGAATAGGTTAAGGCTAAGCCTAATACCTGGTGGTAAAAGAATCAAAGTCTTATTTTGAATAGTCCATTAATGAGAAAAGAAAATTTACGCTGCTATCAGCATAAATTCATGCAAAAGGAGGTAAATGAGAGACTAACTCTTCCTTATTGTCCTAGGATAGTTGGAGAGATCAAGTTTAGCAGAAAGATGGGATGCTGAGAATGTAAACACAGAAACAGAAAACAGAAGCTACATCTTTAAAAACAACAATGCGTGAAGCTGCTGATGACATAGGTCACAGGACTGTGGCCAGAAACCTCAATGCCCACCAAATATCTTGAAGTTAGAGGTACTTGATTTTAAACATGAGGCTTCTGAGGAAAGCCCTGGAAGAGCTGAGATACAGAAAATGATAAAATATGACAAAGTCTCAAAGGTTTAATTCCTTGAGGTTTTTAAAGTCCAGTGGGTCTCAGGTTCTTCTGCTGCTTGCCATTGAATATTTTCCACATTATCTTTTACCACACCAAATAGCCTCAGCCGAGGTCATCCAGTAGAAGCATAGTGAGAAGTGTTTATGACCCCAAGCTACACCGTATATCTGTAAAAATGGCATTCTTCTAGGACAATATTTCCCAAAGCTGTGATACCAGTTAGAATCAATTTGTCTGGTTCTGGTGAGGTGAAGTGGACTCTATTGAACTTGATGGGAAGGAGATTTGCTAGATCAAATGCTTATCCAAAGATCTCTTACGGATGCTGAGCACAGAAACCTAAAGAAGGTGGGGTTACTCCCAGTGATCTTTGCACAAAATAAAGTGGAATTGCCTTTTACTCTTCATCACTGGGTGTCAATGGAAGAAGCCGAGTTAAGAAGAAAGGAACTAAGGAATTCTAATCCTGGTAACTATGTGATAATTATACTTCTGCCAAGGGTGAGGATGTTTTCCAACAACTCTGGCTAGGAGTTCCCAGAAACTAATAAGCCATCATGACTATGTTAAATGTAAGATTTCAGAATCCCAAGAATGCAAATTATTTAGGGGTGATTATAAAGTTTGACAGTAAAGATTTCCAGTGTAAGAAGTTTACATACCAGGACCCAGATATCTTGTTATTTCTGTCCAGATGGACCTGAGGTTTTGTTTGTGGTGATCAAAGGAATACATCCCCCCCCTTTTTTTTCCTTGTACAATTTCACCCTGTGCCTACCATCTTGATAATTCATACAGGCATGAATTGGTTAGACCTGGATAGTACTTCATGCTGAGCTGTTGAATTGTTTTAAATTTCTTTTTGGTTGTGCTGGGCTGCTTTGTTGCTGTGTGTGGACTTTCTCTAGCTGTGGCTCGTGGGCTTCTCAATGCAGTGGCTTCTCTTGTTGTGTAGTACGGGCTTCAGGGTGTGCAGGCTTCAGTAGTTGTGGCACATGGGCTCCGTTGCCCCTTGGCATGTGGGATTTTCCCAGGCCAGGAATCGAACCCGTGTGCCCTGCATTGGCAGGCAGGTTCTCAACCACTGGACCACTAGGGAAGTCCTGAGCTCTTGAATTTTTGAAAATGTAAGAATGAGGAAAACTTAAAACACAACATTTTAAAAGGAGCAGTCATGTAATGCTCCATCCCGCCCCCAATAATATAGGAAATTATATGAAGAAAGAAGAGCTTAGGAATTTTTTTCTTTTATACTTTCAAAGATGGAGACACAAACATATATATTTATTCCCTGCCCTACACTTTTTATCAAATCTCTCTGTGCAAGGGTGTTTAGGTTAGAAAACCCAGAAAAAATATTTTCAAGCTTCTCAAAAAAAACAAACAAAACTGTGTTTTTTGATACTTCACTCCAGTGTCTCAAAATGTATTTTTGGATTTCCTTTTTTCTCAAATGTAGAGACCAATATTTTGGACTGTGTTGGAAATAGCTTCCTGTGTTGGCTCACTCTATTAGTTAAGTCCTAAGGTCCTTTAGGGCAAAGATAACATCTTGGTTTTGTGGATGAGAGAACTTTGGGGCTTGTAAGTGCCTGTACAAAAATCCTTCATTCTTCCTGGAGATTGAGTCCCTGAAATGTACCAATGTCAGCAGAATCAAAGATAAGATCAGAAAAATCAGGGAGCTTGGGAAAACATATTCTGAAACATATTATTATTTTAAACATAAACACTTCCAGAAAACATCTATGTGTAAAAACACATATACCTCTTCTGGTAAGATTTCTTTAGAGTCATCTTCTCTGAGTTGATTCAGGAAATATGCACATGAAATTGTGATCTCCTAGGAAAGAGTCTCCCACAATTTTCCATTATGTGTGCTATAGTTCTTTTTTATATATTAATCTTTTTATTAGAATATATTAATAATTGGTTTAAAGTTTGCATTAGTTTTTGCTGTATAACATTGTGAATCAGCCATATGTATACATATATATCCCCTCCCTTTAGAGCCTACCTCCACCCCACTCCCATCCCATTCTTCTATACTTCTTAGTAAAAATATTCACCTAGATTTTATTGGATTTAAATTGAATGTGTTTTGCAATTATGTCTCCACTTACCTCATTTTCTCAAGACCTAGGAAATGTTTCTGTATCTTGGCTTTTCACATATTGTGATGGAGCTTATGATTACTCTTCCCAACTGACATCCTAAAAATGTATCAGGGGATGGGTTGTAGACAATCTTCATATCCCTCACCTCCTCCAAAAGCCCACCAACCAGATTTGCACAAAGAATAAGGCTTACTTAACTCTTAATAAATTAGCTTGTGTGAGGGTTTTAAAGTCAAAAATACATCAGCCAAAGTGTTATATGGATTTTAAAACTGTATGGACACAGTTTGATCTGTCTTATTTTCCAGTGGCAGATGCCAGCATGGTGATTAATTCAAGGTAACCATACTCACGTTTTAAAAAATTATAAAATGTCTGATTCACTTTTCCCTTCTTCCTACGTGTCTTTATTATGAAAGTGACAATCTGTGGCAAATCTGTGTTTTATTGAATTTTGGTGTAGGTCACAGAAGAAAATAATGTGGAGGAACTTTTATCAAGGGTCATTATTCATCCAAGCACAGACACAAGGATATATTCTGTCTTCTAAAGAAGTGGTGTGGGTGGGTATACCCAATGACGCAGGAACTTCTTGTTCACATCAAAATTAGTCAACCTACAGGAATGTAAAAATGTATTTGAAGAAATATGTTAATGTTGCTCTTCAAGAAATGGTAATGTGGTACTTTTATCAAAAAAGTTTCCTTGTCCGACTTGTTTCAGTTTAATTTTGAAGTGTTACATTGAAGAGGAAGTAGGAGAAAAAATAGAATAGGTTTATATATTCCATCCCCAACAATGGATTAACTTTTTGGCTTCAGTATGGTAGCCTTGATGTTCAATGAGCCAGAGGAGAGTTCTGTTCATGAGGCTAGGAATCTGATGTGTCTTCTTTTTCATTGTGCCTCTCGCCCTCATATTATAGTTAAATGCTCCTTAAGTCTATTTGGTGAATTAATGAGTTAGTGAGCTCTACTCTCCACCTAAGTCAATTGTTCACCAAGTATGTTTTAACACATCTGGACTCTGACCTGGACTTCATCCCACTGGCATTGGACACCTGTCTTGAACCCACTCAATGAGGTCTTACCAAACCATCGACCTCCTCCCTTGAGGTTTAACCCTATCCACCATATACCTTCTCCTAAACTGGGTTGGCCAAGAAGCTCATTCAGAGTTTTTGTAACATTTTACAGAAAAACCCAAAAGAACTATTTAGACAATCCAATAAATAGATTATTTATATGTGAGATGCTCACATGACTTTGAATCTTAGTTCTACTCTTTATCTGTGCCTCTAATGCCTCACCAACAAAATCTGGAGTCACTGGGTATAGGGCATAACATCTAGGTTTAGAGAAATGTGCAAAACTTGATATTCACCTTAGTAACCAGTGCCATAGTGAGCACAGCTCTCCTGCCCTGATTTGTATTTTCATTAAGAGCCTACCCTAGCTTGTCTCAGGGCCAGGCCTTTCAGAGTTATAAACAGCAGAAAGACAGATGGAAATCAGAGGGAAGTATTTTAGTTCACTGTAAGAAAAAGAATTCAAATGGGGTTAGCAAATTACTAAAACCCTTCAGATATGGACTTTATGGCCATCTGTTGGGGGGCAGTAAAAGAAAGTCTCATATTAAAAAATGTATGCATACCATAACTGTGGCAAATGCAGTGGGTGCTGCTATTTTGTTAACTTTTCTTATTCCATAGATGTTTTACGTCTCCGGGTATGCAATCCAGAGAGCTGAAAATTAATTGGTTAATAACAATCAAAGCAATTCATATTTGGGCATACACCTTAGCAGGAAAAAATACACTTTTTTAATACCAGTAGTTTTTATGGGTGAATTATCCAAAGTGTAATCAATGTTTGTTAAATGTGTCTCAACACAGGATGTATACATTTTTATTGTGTTTAGGCGATGACTCTGGACATAAGCTCTTGTCTAGTTATAGAATGTGTTGCTTTGAGAAGGCAGTGTTGTGCAGCTGTGAATAAATTTTTAATTTTCATCCCCTGGAACCTTTGTGTCATCCTTGGGAAATGCCCAGCTGTATTCATGAAAAGTTGAATAAACAGTTCACTTTTGAGAATGAAATTTATTTTAAATGCTATTTAAGGAAATCCTCTCCTGAATTATTTTGTGGGACAAATAATTACTTGCTCATTTTATATTTTTAAACTTTCTGTTTTATATTGGAGTGTAGACAATTAACAACGTCGTGACAGTTCAGGTGGGCAGCAAAGGGACTCAGCCATACATACACATGTATCCATTCTCCCCCAAGCTCCTCTCATTCAGGGTGCTGCATAACTTGAGCAGAGTTCCCTTTACTATACAGTAAGTAGGTCCTTGTTGGTTATCCATTTTAAACGGAGCACTGTGTATCTGTCCACCCCAAGCTCCCTAACTGTCCCTCCCCCTACGTTTCCCCTACCCTGGCAATCATAAGTTCATTCTCTAAGCCTGTGAGTCTGTTTCTATTTTCTAAATAAGTTCATTTGCATCATGTCTTTAAGATATTTGTTTTGTTTTCCCTATAGTTAGCCCTGTAAGTTATCTGCAAAACTATAGTGATGCTGCACTGCCACCTCCTCAACATTAATGACATGTAGGCATTCTCAGATTTAAAGAGAAACCTGCGAGTACCATATTTGTGACACACATTTCTAAATTCCTAGCATCTCTGTTAATTAGCCCTAATCTTTAACTTTGGAAAAATAATCAAGAGAGATTATCTGAGCCTCTGTTATCACAAGAGAATCACGGATGAAATTCCATTCAAAATAAGAGTAAAATCAGGAGAGAACACTGGATTGACAGCTTCAATCAGCAGGCTGGAGTTCTGCTTTTCTCACAAATTGATTTTGGTAAATTGTTTAGCTTCCCTGGACCTCAGTATTCTCTTTGGGAAGATGGCATTAAAAATGTCTGCCCTTCATACTTAGAGTTTATCAGGATTACAGGGAAAATAAATATGTGAGGGCATTTATTTTGTAAGCACAAAGTAAGTTTCACTGCAAATCTAATCAAGTGTGTGGTGTCTTCGAAATGACCCCCAGGCAAGATTGCAGGATAAATCCTATTCACTGAAACTCTGTCATCTTCTCTTGGAAGCATTGGCAGCAAAGATGAGTCATTAAGAGAAATGTTGTTATTATTACAAAGATCATAAGAGAAATAAGAATAGCATTGACAGTGCACATAATTAATATTCACACATAGGGGAGCTTAGAACAACTCAGAATATGGGTCCCAATGTGAGCTGCCTGTGGGCAATGTTTAGTGTCTGTTCCCTCTCTACTTTCTCATCCTGTGAGTGATCCCTGGTGGATCATTCGGTAAAGAGTCTGCCTGCAATACAGGAGACCCAGGTTCAACCCCTGGGTCAGGAAGATACCTTGGTGGAGGACATGGCAACCCACTCAAAGTATTTCTAGACTCTTGTTCCTTGAGCTCTTGGCTGGCATTCTACCCAGGGATCCGACTTTGATCTGATGTCTTGCTTTGTAATTCTGATTTAATTGCTCTGCTTTCAAAATATGCCATATTCTCAAAAATATGAATCCATAACTAGTTTATTAACTTGATGAATGATAAACATTGACCAAATTCTTGTTATTGAGCTTAATTGAATGTGGTATAAATGGCTGGCCTTGACTTTGGAGCTGAATTGAATGTGGTATAAATGGGAGACCTTGACTTTGACATCACTGTGTCCTAATGACCTACTATATAGTTAGAACCTTCAGAACTTTTCTTTAGAGGTGAGAAGTGGAGAGGTCACAGTTTTGGCTAGCAGACTCTTTTATATGGCTTAGAATTTAGATTAAGAATCACGAGTCACCAACTTTTAAAAATAGAAAACTATCTCAAAAATTTCCAGCTTTCTGACTTCTCTTAAATATCAGACCATATAGTGGCACTTGGTACTTCATGGCAAAAATAGCAATGACTGAGAAGCAGCTGGTTTCTTTAGGAGGGCAATCTGTGTTCAGTGTACCAGGGTCCCCACCTATACCACTTCATTTATTTATGTCATCTGTGTGGCCCCTGTAGGACCTGAGTTTGTGACCCTTGAAACATTCACAGAAATAACCTAATTAAATCCATTCTCATAACCAGTTAGTCATGGATGAAATCATGAACAGATGGTTTAAGGTGAACATATGTTGTTGATCTGTTTCTCTTACTTCATTAACTGTTTTGCCAGCATTTTAAACCGTCTAATTATATGTCACAAACTATAACTGGAGCAGCAGTTTACAAGGGGATAATCTAGGGTTTGGCTGAACTTTTATTTTTAAATTTCAAATGACAGCTGCTTTGAGGTTTCATCTGCAGTTCAAAGTAGAATTTTAACAGCTTAGTATTATAATATAGGTGAGTCTTAGGCATGTTCCAAATGCCATACTTGACACATTGTTGTGATGTCATAGGAAAAATGTCATAGGAAATGACATCATAGGAAATGACATCTTGTGATATCATAGGAAAGCACCACTGATGTGGGGTTTTTACAACATACAGTTACACAGAATAAAACACCTGCCATGAAATGTCACCATGAGTGATATATTAGAGGCAGACAAAGACATTAGAGACAAGCTGTTAGCCCTGTGAAGGTTCCAGAGTTCTCTGAAGGCTTCACAAACTCTTTCCCTCATTCTCCATGCCCAAGAGAAGGAAAGTTGCTATGGATAAACCTAAGATGAGGGAAAAAATGGAGACATATTAATAGAAGGGGGTCATCTTCGCACAAGATTATAAATAATATTGTTTGGGAACTAAGCTTTTCTCTTTTGGGAGGGTCCTTTTTTGGGCAGGGCTGCATAGTTGCTTTGCAATGCTGTGTTAGTTTCTGCTATGCCACCAAGTACATCAGGTATACGTGTACATATATCCCCTACCTTTTGGAACCCCTTCCCTCTCCCCCATCCTACCTTTCCAGGTCACCGTAGAGTGCCAGCGAGCTCCCTGTGCTATGCAGCTGCTTCCCGCTAGCTATATGTTTTACACATGGCAGTACAAATACATCAATCCACACCCCCCAATTCATCCTCACTCCCTCTTCCCCATTTCCACATGACTGGTCACCACATCTGCATCTCTATTCCTGCCCTGCAAATAGATTCATCTGTACCATTTTTCTAGATTCCACATACATGCATTAATATACAATATTTGTTTCTCTTTTTATCTTTTTAATTTCTGGAGTTCCCTTTTCCTCAGATCAGAGGGTTAGTATCTGAAGGCCTGGGATTAAGTTGTGGGTGTACAGAAAGGTGGCCCATGTTTGGTATATTTCAGTGAAGGCTGTCAATCAGAAGCATAAATTTTAACTACATGATTCCATATGGCCTAAACTAGGTCACTAAGCCAGAAGGTCCTCATATAGAGATTTAAGGTTAAAGTATTTCTATGTCTGTGCAAACAGAGGACCTTACAAGTGTGGCTATGGCCATGGTGGGTGACTGGTCAAAGAACTGGGGACCTTGGGTTCAAAGACAGACAGTACCTTGACATTACTAGTAGAAGCCTTCTCATATATCTGGCTTTGAGCCTAGTCATCTTCAACCCACTGTCCAATTCATCATCCACTAGGCCATATAGACAGTGGTTTAGGGTCTTAGAGAGAGTCAACAGAGCAAATGTCTCTTAGCATTCCATTTGAGAAATAGACAACCATCTCCTATACAACGAGTGATTCAAGTTCTCTCTTGGGACCTGTAACCTGGTGAGCTACTGAATCAATAACATACCATGTATGAAAATGATCAAAATCATCATGGATAAGCATGGCGATGAAGATCCCAAAGTTTAGTCTAGCATTTCTCACTTGCCTGGAGTCAGAATGAATCTAGTGCAATTACAAAAGGATGGATAAAAATAACAGCGACGGTAGTCACAGGGAAATGATGAATGCGTAGGGAGAGGGAAGTTACTTTTTCTTCTTGATGAATTCACAGACAAAGTACATGGTAAGATGGCACTCGGTGTCATTCCATCTGCCTGAGCTCAGCATCTCCACACAGTCCTCGTGGCCATAGGGGTCGCTGGGCTCACCCTCCTTCCAGTTGCTGTAGTTCCGCAGGGGAGTGTTGTCAGTGAACACATACTGACCCTCCCTCTCAAGGTCGTTCACCCCGATGAACACCCGGAAGAAGCCACTCTTGGCGACGTAGTCAGCCAGCAGCATGTTGGCAGCTTCGTCCTTGGGCATGGCTAGCATGCCACCCCGGATGCGGCAGTGGGTCAGGGATTCCCTGTAGTTCTTCTCCTCCTGCACGATGTAGTAGAACTTCTCTTCGGTTTCCCTAATCCCTGCTATGACTTCGCAGTGAGGAAAAGAAGAACGTGATTATCTGTCTCAAACAGAGAAAAGCTGAGTATGTAATATTGCTAGATTTAAATTAATTTATTCAAGATTTAACAATTCTTTTGCCTATCACGAGGTAGGCACTGCTTCTGTGTTTTGCCCACCTTTGTAGTTGTCTGATGGAGAACCAACTCCTGTCATTGGTCCTCCCCTGTCTTCCCTCTTTTACTTCCCACACAATGTGAAGCAGAGAGCTGTTTGGACAAAGATGTATTATATGAACTGTCACCCAGCTCATCTCAGACAATCTTTCCCCCCCTTGTTTATGCTTTTGCCACCCTTACAGTTCCATGAACATGCCCTTCTCTCTTCCCCTTCTATGCCTTTCATGCCTGGAAAGTCTTCTTAGCGCTTCATCTGGCAAACTCCTACCCATCCTTTAGATTTTAGTCAAAATGCTTTCTTCTATAAGAGCCTTTCCAATGCCCCTGGACAGAGACAGGGGCTATTGTGCTTTCTCCCTTATGTTCCACGGACCCCTTCACTTCATAGCACTCAACACATTTTAGCCTAATTGTGTATCTCTTAAGCTTGTGAACATCCTAAGGCCCATGACCATGTCCTTGTCACTCTGGCGTCTCAGTGCCTGCAACAGTGTGGGGTAGTGGTAAAGGCTTATTGGACTGATACAGAAACAATACAGAATCTCATCCACTTCTGGCCAGATTTCTAGATTGTGAATATATGTATCAATTGAGATGGTCTATACTTCACTTCTGGACTGCAAGGAGATCAAATCAGTCGATCCTAAAGGAAATCAATCCTGAATATTCATTGGAAAGACTGATGCTGAAGCTGAAGCTCCAATAGTTCGACCACCTGATGTGAAGAGCCGACTCATTTGAAAAGACCCTGATGATGGGAAAGATTGAAGGCAAGAGGAGAAGAGGGCCATAGAGAATGAGATGGTTGGATGACATCAGTGAATCCATGGACATGAGTTTGAGCAAGTTCCAGGAGACAGTGAAGGACAGGGAAGACTGGTGTGCTGCAGTCCATGGGGTCGCAAGGAATTGGACAGGATTTAGCAAACTGAACAACAACACATACTTCACTTCGGGTACATAAAGTAGATTGAGCTTCTGAGTAAGATTCAGGACGGAATTAGGAAGTCAGTATCATCCCAAGATCATGATACGCTATATATACTTAGGGCTTTGTGGTCCAAACACACAAACATACACACATATATATGTATATATACACTTCAGGGCCTATAAGTTAAAATTTACAAATAAAACTATGAGTAGTCAAATGTTAAGAACTATGGCACTATGTTAAACCTCTGGAGTTTGGTTTATTCATTGGGGTCGAAGTCAGGTCAGAGACAGCATTTGTACAGGTTATAACAAGAGTTATAACTGAGGGTTAATTAATATCAAACATTTCCTATGTCTCTAGTATTACAAGATGAGGATGGACACAAGACAGCATTTGTGTGCCTCTACTAATGTAAATAAATATGACTGGATTATAATATTTCTGTAGCATTGTATGGGAAACCCCGAATGAACTTTTCGGTCAACCCAATAAATAAAAGTACAACAAAGTGAAAGCAATTGTGACAGCAACTAGAACAGCTCCCTGATTCATACTGTCTCAGGAGAGAGCACATAAGCCCCACTTTAAAGGTTTCACTGCTAACCACCCTGGGGAAATACGAGAGAAAACAAAAATGGCTAACACAGACTATTGCACAGTTTAGAGAAATGCATAATGTTCTCATTGATTTGTACTGAGGGTAGAGGAGTCAGTGAAACTTGTATTCAAATCCTTCCTCCACTGCTCATTAGTGTATATCTATGGGCAAGGTAATCTCTCTAAACTTCAGTCTAATCATAACAATTAGTATTATTGCAAGTAAGCAACAAAGCAACTCCTGTTTTCATTAATATTTTTATCTTCTAAGATGCTGGTTGTTTGGCTCTTGTCTCTTTTTTTTTTAAGGCCCAACTAGTCAAATTCTGCCTTTTCTCCGTTTCCCTCTCTCACTAAAATCCCCTTTTCTACCTATAGGAATGCACATATGTATGTCCACAGGACCTGAAGTGTACTAAGTGGATAATCAGGATTTTAAGAGATCTCTAACCTGGTGACTCTATCTCAACAATCTTTGCCCAAGCTAAGTTAGTTCCTGCTAGAGATATTAGAATTGCAGTGGTTTGTTGGTTTTTGTTTCTTTAAGAAAGAGATTACTTTATTTTTAAATTTGTATTTATTTATTTATTTTTGTCACGTGACATTCAAGATCTTGGTTCCTCAACTGGAGATCGAAACCATGCCCCCTGCAATGGAAGGGCAGAGCCCTAACCACTGGACAGCCAGGAAAGTCCCAGAATCGCCATGTTGAAAGAGATAAATCCATGGATAAATACAAAGAAACAACAAAGCAAACGAGAGTAGACTCACCGTTCTTGACAAACTTCATCGAAGCCTTAAGGCGAGCCACACTGATGTCTAGCTGTCCAACAACTTTTCGGTATCTTCCACAATCACAGACAGTACCTTTCAAATGACAAAGCCTCAATTCATGTTGATGCCCGTGAAGAATGGATAAGAAGGGCAACTGCTCTCTTTCCAATATTTACAGCCTTTTCTAGTCTAGCGATGTCTTTCCGTGAATGGCGATGTTTTTCATCTTTCATTAAAGACAAGGTTTCCAATATTCAGGAATTCAGAATATATCTTTTACAATATTTTGAAAGAGTTAAAACAAAGTTCTAAACCAGTTTTTTTTTTAAAGAACAGTAAGTATGGCAAACCACTGCTCACATATTGTGAACCATTTGGCATTTCTGTTGAACACAGAACATACCTCTACAGTCTCAGAATAAAATCTTTACAGCATTTTAAAAACATATTTCTAGTTTTCTCTTGTGTTACTGTATTGTTTGTTGGTGCACGTAACTCTTCCAAGATGGGAGAAGCCTTTCATGATGACATTAATATTAATTCTGATTATCCATTTGGAGTATAGCTTAACATTCTGAGGACTAAGTTAAATCACGTAAATAGATTCATCTTATAATTTTAAGAGCAAGTTGTTGCATTTGTGGATTAACTATGATTTTAATTTCTGCCACTAATTCCCCTTCACTCATTTACCTTGTCAATCACCTACTGATAATGTGGCAGAGAAAAAAGAGTAAGGAAAATGATGTAAAGTTCAAATGATTTTTTTTTCGTATTTAATGGATGCTTCATGTCAATACTTCCATTTGCTTTTTTCTCCGATGGTTGAAAAGAAAAATGAATTTTACTAACCAAAGGGAGAAAAAGTTCTGTGGCTTTATTCATCCGTATTCACAGTTAAATATAAGGGATTTAAAACAGCTCTTATTTAATTAGGCTTCTCTACATCTTTATGGATAGGGGCTTCCCAGGTGGCTCAGTGGTAGAGAATCCACTTGCCAATGCAGGAGATGCAAGAGATGCAGGTCTGATCCCCTGCGTTGGGAAGATCCCCTGGAGGAGGAAATGGCAACCCACTCCAGTATTCTTGCTGGAAAAATCCCATGGACAGAGAAGTTTGGCAGGCTACAGTCCATGGGGTCACAAAGAGTCGGATACAACTGAGCAACTAAGAACACACACACACTCACACCTTTATGGATAGAAATAATTGAAGCTCACTAGCAATGAGCTACCCACTCCAGTGTTCTTGCCTGGAGAATCCCAGGGATAGCGGAGACTGGTGGGCTGCCGTCTATGGGGTTGCACGGAGTCGGACACGACTGAAGCGACTTAGCAGCAACAGCAGCAGCAGGAATGAGCTACTTTCTTTCCCTGCATCAAGCACTGGAAAGAGTCCTCTTTTCAGTATCAGGGAGAGGCTCCCAGGCCACTGATGCATGTTCTGTGACCACCAGGCCTTGCTTCATCAGGCCAGTTTGCTGGTGACAAAATGCTTGGCCAACGTTTGGTTGAGACTCTGGTGAAAGGCTGAGTCTATTGCTGGTCCTATTGTTGAGGCCCTTGTGGATTTTCCTCTTGGTCTAGGAGGATGAGGGCTGCTTCCTGATGTACTAGATTTGCTACCTCAAGCAAGCAAGGCAGAGGTGGAATGAACCACCTTCCTTCCACCCGTTCCATAGGGCCTGAAAAGTCACCACTTGAGAGAGAGAAGAATTTCCTTCCCTCCTTTCCTCTGGCCCAAGGAAAAGGAGGCTAATCACACTGAACAGACTATTGTTCTTCTATTAAATACATTTATTTTTGAGACAAATAGTTTTGTAATGATGCTAAAAATTAAAAAGAAAAGCAACCTGAATATCTATCAACAGAGGAATGGATAAAGAAGATGTGGCTGATTCATTTTGCTGTATAGTAGAAACTAACACAACATTGTAAAGCAACCACACTACAATAAAAATTAATTTTAAAAAGAAAAAAATGAGCATATTATACCTGCTTTGCCTTTTCCCCCAGGTATTCCAGGCAAACCCTTTTCCCCTTTGTCACCTGAAGAAAAACAATAGCCATGAAAAGAACAACTAAATAAAATAGTACTATTCATGAGTAGAATTAAATGCATAAAATATAATGAAATGAAATAGAATTATATCAGGCAGACAACATATTACACACCTAAAATAAGAAGAAAGATGTTTTAAACTTCATTTGTAATATCTCCAAATAATATTTACTAATATTATAAAAATAATTTGGTTTCGAGTTGGCTGCACAGGTACAACTAATCAAACAAGTCAATTAGATGGAACAAGTTACTTAGATGGAATATAGAATTCCAGCTGGATGTATAAACATTTAATTTTGTGTCATTTATCCCACTAACATGTTTTTATAATGTGGCCTTCTCAGCAAAGATAATACAATATTCTGCATGTTTTTAATTTTTAAAGTTCTGTTGCTTTACATATCTGAATCAATTGATTAGCATAACACAGTGTCTGTGTATTTATTATATTATGCCCCCAAGTTCTTCCATGTGGCTTTGCCCTTGGATTTTCAAAAACGTATATTGTGCTTTTTCAACTTAATTGAACAAATATATACTACTTACTTACTCTATGCAAGACAAAACATTTGCTTGGTACTTTGAAAAGATACAGAGAGAGACAAGATTAAACTTTTGGCTTGAAAGAGTTTATGCTTTTCTGGAAGAGATGTGATGTATGCAAATATTGATAAAATAAAGTTGTGTCAAAAATATTATTCTGAAATATCAATCTTGATAATTTTCCTTTCTGCTCTTTTTTGTATGTGACCTTTTTCTTAGTCAGAGACATCAACAAAATATATTTGAGAATCAGAATTGTTAAAGCACAGAGGAAAAAAAGCTGACTTTTTTTCAACTTCAAAATAGGCCCTTGAAGTCCACATCAGACACAATAATTGAAAGAAAAAGCTTTTGATTTATAAGAGGAAATGTTTGGCTGAACTTTGGGGGAATCAAAAGAGAAGATGCCGATAGAAGTAAAATAGAGCTTATGCTTCAATGGAGATCTGGAAAAAGAATAAGAAAAAATTCAGGAGGATAAATACAGGATGATGGTCATACAGGCTAAAGAAGAGTATGAGGTTTACTCTTGTAGGACAACGATATGGCCAGGGATTGGGTAAATAACAGAGGGAACAATGTAAGGGGGAATGGAGTCAGCATTGAGGTTCTGCCTAATTCTTTCCTTTCCCAACAAATAGGGAAAACCCAAAGGATTCCCCATATTGCCTGTTCATTAGCTATTCTGTCTTTGCTGATCACTTTTCATTGAGAGTCCTGTATGTGTTGATCATTGATCATCCAGAAATTCATGCCGATCAGGGCCCCAAGGATTTGCTGAGCCTTTCCTAATTGACCCACATGGACACTTTTCTTTACAGTGATGCCAGACCTTCATGAGCTCCCCAGATAAAAGGAGGGGGCTCCTTGAAACTCTGAATGTAATTTGAGTATGCAGTGGAATGTGTCTGAACCTTGTGCTTAGATGAAATGAGACAATGTTGAAATCTATGACAACGGAATGTGATAAATATTGTAAGAGATACCATGAACAGAGATAACATACTCTGTCCAATGTTAGAGGGAGCTGGCAGAGATGGTGCTCCAGCTGGAAGAATGAAGGAAGGCTCTCCTGAGGAGATGGTGCTGGAGTTTCAGCAGATGGAGGTGGGAGCCAGGTAGTAAACCCCAGAGAGCAGAGGTGTAGTTGAGAAAGAAGCATAAAAGTATGCCTAACATCCTGATAAGGAAGATTGATCTGGACACATCTGATCTGTGTCCTGAAAACTCCTCATTTCCCTTATGTGTAAACTAGAAAAGATAAGACTAGATTTGAGAAAATGTTAAGGGAAGAAAGGGAATATATGTTTGCTGAGTGCCAATTATTTGTCAAGTATTGTTTGGATACTTTAGATGTATTGTCATATGAAATCCAATGAGATAGGTGCTATCATTATTTTTATTCTAACAACTGAAGAAATTGAGAGTCAGGGAGGCAAAATAAATGACTCAAGGACATCCAACAATTCAATAGCAGTGCTGCTATTAAAACCCAACCAACTTCTGACTCTCCAGTTTGTGGTTCAGTTCAGTTCAGTCACTCAGTCATGTCCCGACTCTTTGTGACCCCATGAACCACAGCACGCCAGGCCTCCCTGTCCATCACCAACTCCCAGAGTTCACCCAAACCCATGTCCATAGAGTCAGTGAGGCCATCCAACCATCTCATCCTCTGTCATCCCCTTCTGCTCCTGCCCCCAATCCCTCCCAGCATCAGGGTCTTTTCCAATGAGTCAGCTCTTCGCATGAGGTGGACAAAGTATTGGAGTTTCAGCTTCAGCATCAATCCTTCCAATGAACACCCAGGACTGATCTCCTTTAGGATGGACTGGTTGGATCTCCTTGCAGTCCAAAGGACTCTCAAGAGTCTTCTCCAACACCACAGTTCAAAAGCATCAATTCTTTGGCACTCAGCCTTCTTAATAGTCCAACTCTCACATCCATACATGATTACTGGAAAAACCATAGCCTTGACTAGACGGACCTTTCTTGGCAAAGTAATGTCTCTGCTTTTTAATATGCTGTCTACGTTGGTCATAACTTTCCTTCCAAGGAGTAAGTGTCTTTTAATTTCATGGCTGCAATCACCATCTGCAGTGATTTTGGAGCCCAGAAAAATAAAGTCAGCCACTGTTTCCACTGTTTCCCCATCTATTTGCCATGAAGTGATGGACCAGATGCCATGATCTTAGCTTTCTAAATGTTGAGCTTTAAGCCAACTTTTTCACTTTCCTCTTTCATTTTCATCAAGAGGCTCTTTAGTTCTTCTTCACTTTCTGCCATAAGGGTGGTGTCATCTGCATAACTGAGGTTATTGACATTTCTCCCGGCAATCTTGATTCCAGCTTGTGCTTCCTCCAGCCCAGCATTTCTCATGATGTACTCTGCATATAAGTTAAATAAGCAGGGTGACAATATACAGCCTTGACATACTCCTTTTCCTATTTGGAACCAGTCGGTTGTTCCATGTCCAGTTCTAACTGTTGCTTCCTGACCTGCATACAGGTTTCTCAAGAGGCAGGGCAGGTGGTCTGCCCATTTCTTTAAGAACTTTCCACAGTTTATTGTGATCCACACAGTCAAAGGCTTTGGCATAGTCAATAAAGCAGAAGTAGATGTTTTTCTGGAACTCTCTTGCTTTTTCGATGATCCAGCAGATGTTGGCAATTTGACCTCTGGTTCCTCTGCCTTTTCTAAAACCAGCTTGAACATCATGTATTGCTGAAGCTAGTTTGTGGTACTTTTCAAATAATTTAACGAACAGTATATTGAAGGGAAGCAAAGTCTTCAAAAAGAGCTATGTTGAAAGTAATATAAACCTTATCATCACCAAAAACAATATGAACTTGAAAGATCATATGAATCTAGTTTCATATTTTAATTTAAAAATAGTTTATTTTCTTTATATGTGAATCTCTTTCAATTCAACATGAGTTGAAAACTGATTCTCATTCTGCTGTGATCCTAGTTCTGGTCTAAGTCCAATAATAAATATTTAAAAAGTATACATAAAGTATTTGCTTTAGAAAATTATAGGCTTTTGGAGAACTTTACTGGTAGTCCAGTGGTTGGGACTCCATGCTTTCACTGCTGAAGATGCTGATTCAATCCCTAGGTGAGGAAGTAGGATCTTCCTACAGCTTGCAGCTGTGCAGCATGGCCAAAATGTTAGGTTTTTAAGGAAAACAAAGTGCATAAGAGACCAAGGAGATGAGGCACTAGCACTATTACTCCCTAACAGAGAGAAATCAAAGAAACGCCTGGTAGGTATTCAGAGAAGGCAAAGATGACTGTGGATCAGAGTAGCAAAGGAAGGCTTCTTTGAAGCAGCAGATTTTAACTGGATATTAACAATGTGGAGAATAGATTCTTGAATTGATACATGGATTTTTTTCTGAGAAGATGTAAGCACTGTGACTACTTTCCAGTATTTTGACATGAATTCCTTTCTGTTTTTTAACAGATGGGAAAGTCAAAACAGTATGATGGAGTGAAAAACCACAGAAGTCTGAACAACCAGGGTTTGAATGCTGACTCTGCATCTTACTAGCTAAACATGGACCAGTTACTTAATTCCTTTACATTTCCATTTCTTCATTTTTAAAGTGGAATGATGGTGCCTAAAGTCATAAGAAGGATAAATTAGACAATGTCATGGGATCAGGTCTGTGCTTGACTTGTGGAGGGTCTTTAACCAGTGTTTGCTTCCGCACACTAAATCAGAGTTACAGTAAAGGAAAGCATGCCAAGTAGTTAGCCAATTCATGGTGGATGTGAGCTCATTGTGTCTATTTCCCCAAAATGAAATCTGGTTTAAAGCCACACATAAAAATTAATAAGTAAGAACACCTCTGTATTAACTGTCTTAAGGTTGAAGAATCACAGGCTGCATTTAAACAAACAAAACACCATAATACTTCCATTGTAAAAGGATTATCAACCTTAAATAAAAGCATCTATTTTGCTATGAGATTGAATTTACCTATAGTAAACCAACCTTTCCTATTCCTTAAATGAAATATTGACATCCAGAAAGCTACCTTCTCCATTCAACATTAAGGTCAGCCCAGAAAGTTGAGATTAATCTGAGTCAGCGAAAAATTTAGAAGGACCAGGGACAAAATGAGGACAATAAATTTCAAAGTACAGTTTAAAAATGAAATTAATCCAGGTGAGCCAGAACACTGAACCTCCATTTTCAAAAATATTCCAGTACATGCTCATAAATTTTCAAGGCATGTCTCTGGAGGAGAAAAACACTTAGCCAGTGTTGAAAACTGATGTTAGGGGAAAGTAGTAGCTAACAAAAATAAAGAGTAGAAAAGAGAGTCACATCATAGGAAATGACATATATCATTTATTTTTCATTCTTAATGCAATAAACATTTAGAAAGTTTCTCCTTTATAGTAGACATTGGAAAAAAATGATTAAAAAGCAGAATTCCCCAAATACAACTTCTATGTATTTAAACAAATAGATCTGATATAGCCTCCATTCATTTCCTCCAGAAATTCATAGCCTATTGAATGACACAGACAAGTTAATAAGGCATAGTGATAATAATAAAGTGATAGGTGTGCACTAGGTGCATATGCATAAGAGTTTGAATAAGGAATTGGCCTGAAGAAGATAAGGTTAGTTAACCCTATCCATTCCAGACTGCTACTTCTCCAATATTTGGAACTTCATCCATTTTTGAGGCTCAGAAAAATCATAGCACAGTTTTTGACCTTCCCCCGGTCTCTGCTGTTTACCATCCTCTCTTCAAGAGCTATCTAGTCTTGTTCTATGGAAGGGTTAAGACTTGGCTCTACGTCATGAACTTCAACTCTCCTGGTTGGAGTCTTACCTAGATGTGACACATCTAAATCTAGGAAAGTTCAACATCTAGAATAATTCACTGAAAAATGAAGGTCTTGAATTCTGGATGTGTTCATCGCAATAACGTAGCCTCCCCCTCCACGTCTGCTCATCTCTAGGGCAATACTTGAGATCTTAACCTTATATAATGTGATTGCATTTCAGAAATCTTGAAGTCCAACATCCCACACTCTAGTTACACATTTCCATCCCTTAACCATTTGTTAAGCGAAGCTGATATAACCAGAGGCAGATTTATGATGATTTTATCCAAAGCTTATACAATTTGAGGAGACTTTTTAAAAAAAAATACCAAATTCCAAATTGAAAAGTACTTATAATAATGAACACGTTATAAGAAAAGATTTTGGATCATTTTTATTATCATTATTCTAAATTCTTTTTCAGGTAGATTCCCTATCTCCTCCTCTTTTGTTTGGCTTGGTGGGCATTTTTCATGTTCCTTTACCTGTTGGGTAATTCTCTGCCTTTTCATCTTGTTTAGATTGCTGTGTTTGGAGTGGCCTTTCTGTATTCTGGTGGTCTGTGGTTCCTTTTTATTGTGGAGGTTTCTCCCAGTGGGTGGGGTTGGATGATTGGCTTGTCAAGGTAAAACTAAATGGCTAAATTTTAAAAGTAGTCAAGGGCCACAATACAAAATTCACTTAAAAATGTAATATTTTAATTAATAAGTGAATTTTGTGCATCTATAATTGTTCTTTTCATATAGTATGTGCTGTGTATGTTTGGCTGCATTCATATTCATCCAATTGACCTAGCAATATTTATTGATAGGCGTCTCATTTCCCTTTTCAAAATATCATCTTTGCCTAACTCAAGTTTGGGATCTGTTTCTGCATCGTTTATTTCTTTCCACTGGTCTATTTGTCTCTGCACTAAATCAACACTATCTTAATTGTTTAGCTTTACAATAAATGCTTAAATTTATTAAACATTAATTTATAACATTTATTTGATTTAAGTCTTTCACTTTTGTTTTTATTTTTCAAGATACTCTTTGGGTATCCATGTTCATTTTCATTTCCATATAAATTTTGAATTGGCTTATCAGATAGCAAGAGAACTACTTGTGGGATGTTAATTGAGAGAAGGCTGAAACTATAGATCAATTTGGGACATCTTAACAGTATTAATTATCCTAACAATATTGAGTCTCCCAATCTATGCATGTAGCTTTACTTCCATCTCCTTAGATAATCTTTAATTTCTCTCCTTATAATCATGTAGTGTTTGTTGTAGAGAGCTTATACATCTTTTGTTAGATTTATTTCTAGATATTTGCTATCATAAAGGGAATCGTTTTAATTTCAGTTTTTAAAATTGTTTCTAGTACTTAGAAACAAAAATTGATTTTTGTAAGTTAAAGCTCTGCCTGCATGTTTAGTCATGTCTGACTCCCACCGGGCTCCTCTGTCCCTGGGATCCTCCAAGCAAGGATACTGGAGTGGGTTGCGTTGCCCTCCTCCAGGGGATCTTTTTCACCAGGGATTGAACCTGCATCTCCTTCAGCTCCTGCATTGGCAGGCAGATTCTTACCATTGCGCCACCTGGGAAGCCCCTTGTTAAGCTATCTTTAAAAAAACAATACAAATAGCTTGTCTATAGATTCTTTTGAATTTTCTGGGTATGTTACAAGATTAGGAAATAATCACCATCTTATTTCTCCATTTCCAAGTATTGTGATTCTTATCTCTTATTCTGGCATTTTTGCTCTGGCTAGAACGTCTTCTATAATGTTGACTAGACTTGATGATGAGGGCTATACTTATCTCATTTCCATTATCAGGAGAGCTGTGTTCAATATTTCATTACCAAGTATGATTTTTAAGTAAGTTTTCATTGATGCTATTCCTTTTCATATTAAACATTCCCCTTGATTTTCAGTTTGCTAAGATTTTTTTTTTAACATGAATGGGCGTGTGTTTGACTATTTTATTCAGAATTTCATAAGTTCTAACTGGAGGTTTTTATTTTTGAAATGAAAAATAAGAGTCCCATTTCCTGGGCCACTCATCTCTGGCAGACTTTGAACACCAACTAAGTCTGAGCAACTTTCTGCTCATGTCTCTTAGTCCTTTAATGCTGACTCACATGTGAATCTGTAAATGAGGAAAAATGGATCAGGATGTAAAGCCTACCTTAGTGTGGTCCCCTTCTTCTCCAGATCACAGTCCCTAAAGTCTTTTCACTTTGGTTGCCCTCTCATGACTTCAAATATGTTTGTTTGTTTGTTTTTGACTCAATTAGTCATTCTTAGCAGAAGGATTCATGCAGGTGAATCTCTCATAGCCTGTAGCATAAATCTGAACTTTGTCTTTGTTATAAATAATGTAAGTGATTTTTCTCACCTTCACAACTTGTTATTGATGGTGTATGTAAATTAAGAATATTGTCAAAATTGAAAATACCTCCGTAAAGTCTTGTTCACATATGAGCTGTTAGATTTGAAATTTTTTCCACCGATGAACTCTGCCTGGTACATTTCATACCCTGTTTCTTTTGCACAACCTACACATTTCTTGGGCTGGATGCCCTGGACATATTCCTATGATGATCTGACCTCTGCCCCTGCACTTTTCCATCATGACTTTGGATACATCTGCACAGTAGGTGGTAGAAGTATTGGTAGAAGTATTGGAAGCTATTCCAACATCAGAATTGTTAGCAGGAACTTAACTGTACGTGGAAGTGATTACAAACTATAGAGATATATTCCACTAAGTCCAAATGAAATATTTCCCCCATTCAAGTTCTTTTTAACTAGCTCCCAAAATACTTGTATCCACTCCAAAAACTGAGACAAGGAGAAGTATGATGGAGGAAAGTTGGATCAGAAGACAGGACTTTTTTTTTTTTTTTATGCTGTTATTGTCTTTATTTTGTCCATGAGGGAACTGAAACACAGATAGATTAAGAAATGTCCACAAGGTCAAATATACACAAGAAAGACCCTGAGTGGACTGAAACCCAATCATTCTGATTTCAAACCTCAAGAGCTAAATCCTCTGCTGAATGACAGACCAAATAATCCATGGTAGAAGATGTTCATACCTTAATGGATGATCAAGCTTAGACTGGGAGCACAAAAGAAACGAGGGGTTCAGGAAAAGCTTTATCAAGAAGTTTATTTTTCCATGGTTTCAAAGAATGAGTGGTATTTTGACTGACAAAGAGGTGTCTGGGGTAGAAAACTGTCTGAGTAAAGGCAGGGGGCAGGAGAAGACACCTTGACATGTTTGGGAAACAGCAAAAGGAGACAGTCCTCTTAATCCATGCATTGCAGTGGGGACAGTATCACCTCACAGATCAAAAGTCAGTGCAGCAGGGGTGAAAAAATCTTACTCTTTTAAAATATGTAAAGGAGAAATATACACAAACTACGTAACATGTGGTCCATTGGTGGGAAGTTTTTGGAGACTTGCAACAATTTGAAAAAACTCACAAATAAACTGCGTAGACTAGAAATACCAAAAAAATTAAGAAAAAGGTATGTCATGAATACATTAAATATATGCGTTAAATAGATAGTAGTCTATTTTATCATTTATACCAGAAAATATATACAAATTGATTATAGAAAGTTAATGTTTATCAAAACTTCCATACACAATCACAGACCATACATGGTGCCATTCCCAGTTGTGAGAAATGTAAACAAACGTAATGCTGCAGTAGTAAATCATAACTGCATAAATTTAACTGGAGTAAATACTGTACTAAGGTATAGTTTCGTAGCCACCTCCCACTACTCATGTGTTGCAAGTATCTGCTTAAAATACTCCTCTGATGTAATTCATCTCCACTGGAGCAGTTGGTAGGTTCAAGCAAATTGTGTATCCAAGTAAAAAGTGATCATTCTGCACCTTCAAACCAATAGTACAATGTCTGTATGAATTGCTAAATATCAGAAGCAGTAAGAACTGGCTACCATTGTGGGGTTTTAGGAAAAGAGGATAAAGAGTGCTGAGATAATAAAGAGAAGGCCACCTCCATAGTGAAGCAGGAATGTGCGGGATCAAAATATGAGTGAAAACAAAAGGATGTAGATATATACACTTCAGATTCCTACTCTGTTAACATATCTCAGACATAGAATTATTATTATTCCACTCCAATTAAAATACAGTATTATACTGTTCTTGGCTACCTTGATTTTTATGAATAATTATTTTCTACAACCGAGTGTGCTTCATGATCATGACACCCATTTTAATCGTATAAAGGATTATAACCAGTAGGTCCCAGGAGACAGTTCTATGTAGAGTTTAACTGAACTTTATGTTTGACTCTGTCCTTGAATTTCAATTGAATTTTGCTCAAGGCCTTTTTGTAAAGACACATTGCTTACATATGGAAGAAACAGCCAAGCTAGGAAGAGAGAACTCGTATTTTAAAAGAAAGAAAAAGGGTCATTTTTGTGATACAGAACATTTCAAAATAGATCAAGGGTAGGTTCCCTCTGCTTTAAATTGCTACTGGAGAATGGTAAAATACAACTTACCCTTTTTGCCAATGGGCCCAGTCTTGCCAATATTGCCTTGATCTCCTGCATCACCCAGTTCTCCCTTAACTCCTGAAAAGAAAAATGTGTCATCTTTATATCTTAAGGTTTTATCTTCCTTTTAATGATAAGCCTAATATATGATATTCACTTTAAGGAAATACTTAAAAGTGCATTCTTCTATCTGTGGTATATAATATATATTCTTTGCTATATCACCTATTTTAATAGTATTATAATGTATGCACTAAAATTAAAGTGTGGGTGAGTATGACAGTCCTGGGTTTGATGATATTAAAATGCTTACAGATGCAATATTTCTAAAGAACTCGAGCAGAGGATGTTTAATCTAAAGGTTAGATAAGGGGCTGAGTGAAAGAATTCCTGTATTTTGTTCTGATTCTATTCCTCCTGAGATCCATTTTAGCTTCACTTTGGGATTCTATTTCCTCACTGCCTTAAAACAAGATTTGACTATCTTACCATTTTTTAGAAAGGGAGCGAATGCACAATCATAAAACCAAGTAATCAAAGGGACATCAAAGATTGTTCCACCATATTTTTATTTATATATATTATATATATAAAATCAGGAATTCCTGAGTTCCTACAAAATTGTTATTAATTTGGGTTTTTAATCTGTGATTATCTAAAAAATATGTATCAGCTGTAAAGCTGTCTATATGTGAGAATAATTCTGCAGTTGACTGTACATATTTCTTCCCAATCCAGGGATCCAACTCATGTCTCTTACATTTCCTGCATTGTCAGGTGAGTTCTTTACCGTCGGCAGCACCAGGGAAGCCTATTTTCAGACTAAGAAGAGTTTAAGTCAGCATTTCTCAAATTGAAGCCCCAAAAGCCTATGAGTCTGCTTCTCTTTAAATAACTGAAGATATAAAAATCAGTGGTCCAGGGCCACCACCTTGCAGCAATTGGCGAGGAATGGTTCTAGCACTCAGGACACACACACATCACAATGCAGAAGCTGTATTTTGTCAAGGTTAAGTCTCGTCTTGTGATTAAAACACTCACAAAAATCCTTTGTGTTATTCTCATTTTCTTTGCTTGTACCTCTCCCATAAATATCCCACCACTTGCTAGGAGATCTTGGGGAAGAGTGAGTAAATGAATGGGTCAGACAGTTCTTTCTGCTCTTTCTTATCTTCCTCCTCACACCCTAAACCAGAGTTGCTTAGTGTGGCTTCTGAGAAGAGACACGGCAATGAACACAGCGGTGTTTCTAAAACTAATGGTTTCTCAGATATTCCCAGAGACTGCTCTGCTCCAGAATTCCCAGGGTGTTCCTCTTTCATCGGCCCTAACGATGCAGCCTGAGAGCTGTGTCCCAGTCTTGCTGACAAGCAATCTCATGGGAACTCTCTGGGGGTGGCTAAATTCACATGTGAAACACATTTCATGACTCTTTGGAGCAGAGGGTGTTATGAAAGCTGCCAGACTTCCAGGCCAAGTCCTGTATAGAGAAAAGTGTCAAAGTGATGTCGTGTCACCTACCTTTTGGCCCCATGCGTCCCACTTTGCCAAGCTTTCCCTCCTCTCCTGGATCTCCTTTTTCACCATCATCTCCTTTTGAAATGAAAAATGAATGAGTGGAGCAGCTCAAATAGTAATATAAGGACAGACTCCCCAGGAGAAACTGAACGTGGTTAGAATTCATCCCTCAGCTCAGTGCTTGCCTTACAGTCTCAAGGTGATTATGCCTAATAGGCACACGTGAACTAAACACTCAAAGAAAGAGAAGAGACTCCCATTAACCTTTTTCTTTCACTTTTCCCTTGTTGGAGGAGGAGGTAATCAAGAGGATGTGACTGTTGGTTGACCAGCAAGCTAGACCCTAGCTCCTCACCTTCTCCCCTGTCCGTGGAATGTACATTCCAGCCTGTTTGCATAGCTCAAGCCATTTCAAGGATGCAGCCTTGAGACAATAACATGTTGAAACCACCTAGGCTGAAAATATGACTGAGCCCAGTTAAGGCATCTATGTAAATAAACCTTTAAGATTCTGGTGGGTGAGTGCAGAGATCTACTTGTCTTAAGCTGCTCAAGAAGAATCTTGAAACTTCCATTGTTTATGAAACATTCCACCTACCAATTTGGAGTGGCCTGCCTTTCTTTTTCACCCCTTGCCCTTTGTGTATGGGGACAGGTTCAGATTTCACTAAGGAAATTCCCCAAATTGCAAACCAACACACATCCAACTTGGTATTTAAAGAAATATCCTTTTTGGTAAAACCCTGAGAAGTTTGCTTGGCCTCCTGACGAATCTTTATTCTTGCTGAAGAATCTGGCAAATTCTGGAAGCATGTGCATGTATATACATCCATATACATGCATATCAATGTATTATATGTATAAATATATATATTAAGTATACATAAATTTTATAATATGTGTGTATGTTTCCACGCTCAGCTGTGTCCATCTGGAAAGCCCGTATATATTTATTGCTCTCTGACCTGAGAATCAAAGATGCTTGAGAATCCCAAAATCATAGGCATGGACCTAGAAGGTAAGAACAGAAAACTAGCTAGGAATGGGGAACAGCTGCAAAGCGGGTCAGTGTGAACAGTGACTATTCTAGTCATAGGTGGGTCTAGCTCTAGCAGTTCACCAGTCAACAAGGACTGAATGAGTGGTTTGATGGAAGGTGTCCTAAACTGTGACCCAGGAATCCTGACTTTACGTTGTGTTAGTCACTGATGGGCTAAGCAGATTTGCAAAAGTCAGTGATTGAGTTTATTGTCTTTGGTGTGAGATCAATCTGGAGTTTCTCAGCTCTAGTATTCAGTATCTGGAGAAAGTTGAATATGTGACTTCATTTTATGAGCCTCATTTTTGTCTTCTATAAATGGAACTAATAACATCTAGCAAAGAAGGCTCCTGAGAAATTTAAGTAAGATACTATGTGTAAAAGAAGGGCTTCCCTGGTAGTCAACAGTAAAGAATCTGTCTGCCAATTCAGGAAATGCAGGTTAGATCCCTGGGTTGGGAAGATCCCCTGGAGAAGGGAATGGCCACCCACTCCAGTACTCTTGCCTGGAAAATCCCATGGACAGAGGAACCTGGTGGGCTATCGTCCATGGGGCTGAAAAAGAGTCAGACACAATTTAGCAGCTAAACAACAAAAATGCATAAAAGACTGAAACATTGCATACAGCTGAAACTAACACAACATTGTTAATCAACTATACTCCAGCATATACTAAAAAATTTTTAAAAAGACCCAGAATGTAATTGATGCTTAGCAGTGGTGGTGGCTTTTGTTCTTCCCTTTATACTTCAGTTTCCCCACCCTTCAAGTGGAGATAATCACCATCCTCCCCAACTCTCCCAGTGTATTAGGATCAACAAGGAAGGCATGTGAATGTGCTTTGAAAATAAAAAGCACAACCCACAATATTATTAAAATCAGCTACCTGCCTTATCACCACAGCAATCTCAGGACAGGAAGGAGTCCTGGACATCTCCAGTGGAAAGTGGTAGATAAGAGACTTCAAAAATGAAAATAAAATTCCTGGAATTAGATTAGATTAGTTGGGAGAGAGACTGTTGAGACATTCATTTATCCAGAAAAAGCACAATCAGCCATTCTCTAATTTTTCCTGAGAACAGAATTTTTAAATGAAAGCATAGCAAAGTATGGAACAGGTTAGATTTCCAGATCGTGGGACTGGTCAGGCACTGGAACTGAAACTCTAGTATCCCCTTTAGGGGAAGGCTTTTGGAAAAAATTCACAGGCGATTAGTGTGATCAGGCCAGTGATGTGACGTGGATGAACTAGATGGCATTTCTCTAGCTAAAGTTATTAGTGAATGTTTATTGAGCAATTATAATGTGTGCCAACACTGTGCTAATGTGCTCATCACAGCAATTTTAGGAGATAGAAAGGATTACTGCTCCATTTTATAGATGGAAAAATTGAGACTCACTGAGATTAAGTTTTTACCCTACTGTCATAGAACTTGTGAATGGCAGAACTAGGATTCAACAATACAATTCTCTGCCCCTCTGAATCCCTACTAAAAACAATTGTCCCTTCCATTCTAGGATTGTGTGATTTTTAGTAGATTGTGGATTTTATAGAACTTGACGCTGCACCAGATTTTTCAAGGAGAAAAGGGGAAATGCAGAAAGTGAGTTTTTGTTCCTCTTTAAGAAAGAGAGTGGGGAAGACAAAACCAGCTCAATGTCTCAGTGACTTAATTCATAGGGAATGTATCCTTGAGGTAATTTACTATAAGTGAGATCTGGTTCTGCCACTCATGAGCTGAGGGACCTCTGGAAGCCCTTGACCTTGGACCTTATTTCACTCATTTGTAGAATGTCAGAATAATACCCTTTTCAGAGAGTTTTAGTATAGGTAAAATTAGAAAAATATTTCCTTCAGGAAGCTCTCTCTGACTCTCTCAGGCGGCACTAAATTCTCCTTCTAATTATCTTCATTGTTTAAAATGCCATTTAATGAAGTTTAAAATAAACTTCATTGTTTATCTGTGCTGTGTGTTTATCTGTTTATCCTTTATACTCATCTGTGACCTGTGGGATCCCTGGGGTCTTGAGTGATTTTTCTGCCACCCCCAAAACTTAGCAAAGTGCTTGACTCTGGAGCTTAATAAATAGAATTGAACCGGGTATATTCTATGAGCCATCAAACATTTTACAAATACAACGATAATGTTTATTGAATATTAAGCACCAAAGAGTTCCTAGTCCTGGACCTGCATCCTGTCATTTGAGCTTCACAACAACCTCTGAGATGGATATCTCCCTTTTACAGAAGAGAAAATGAGGTCAAAAAGAGGTTAAATAACTTCCCAAGGTCACATCGATCATAAGTAATAAAGCCAGAATTCAAACCTGGGAAAATGCCTTCAAAACCAATGTTCTGAACAATGTGTATGATTGGGAACAAATTTCTTTTTAACATTTCTGGGTCTGGGGATTGTTATTCCGAAACAATGAGGCTTCCCTGATGGCTCAGTGGTGAATACTCCATCTGTCAATGCAGGAGGGAGAAGGAAATGGCAACCCACTCCAGTGTTCTTGCCTGGAGAATCCTAGGGACGGCGGAGCCTGGTGGGCTGCCGTCTATGAGGTTGCACAGAGTCAGACACAACTGAAGCGACTTAGCAGCAGCAGCAGCAATGCAGGAAATGCAGGAGATGCTGGTTCAATTCCTGGGCTGGGAAAATCCCCTGGAGAAGGAAATGGCAACCCACTCCAGTATTCTTGCCTGGAAAATCTCATGGACAGAGAAGTCTGGCAGGCTCTAGTCCCTGCAGTTGCAAAAAAGTTGCGCATGACTTGGTGACTAAACAACAGTTCCACACAGTGGGACCAAAGATGCATATCTGGCTCACCAAAAGGCAAGATCAAACGCAGGCGTGTGTGTGCTTTGGTGAGTCATAAAACCACACTAATACGAATTATTCGTGCCATGATTATTTCTCCTTTCTCCCTTCTTGTAAGCTTTCCCGTTCATTTTCAAGCAAGTACTTAAGTGGAGGCAGCCAGATGAGTGACTTAGTCATCTGCTGCTCCCTGGTGGTTGCTGATAGAGACCTGGGAGGGTGAAAATAGGATTATTATCCTTTTGACCTGTATGCCTGAATCCCAGCCTGGTGGTGAGAGGGCTGCTGGCTGCAATGAAGTAAACAACTTGTCCCCTTGCCTTGAGCCTGGGCCCCAGCTTCATTTGATCTTTGGGACTTGTTTTAATGAGAATAGAAGAGAAGCATAAAAGCAAGCTTTGGAAAGGATCCCCACATGGCTCACAGTTGTCTGCTTTTATCCTCTTGGCAATATTTCATTGGATTAGTAGGGCAATTTAGACTTACTTTCCTTCTTTTAAAAATAGCTACTTTGCATTTAAAAATTAAATGAAAAGCTATCAACTGTAATGAACTCATTTCAATTTTACAAAAATGATTTGTCTCAGCCCCCCGCCCCAGGCCACCAGCTTGCTGCGGTAATCTCTCCAGCAGAATCCCAGCAGAGCACACAGTTGAGCAATTTTTCTTAGGTACATTTTTTTTCCCCAACAAGCAAAACGTCTTTTAAAATTAAATTCTAGTTTGAAATGAAATAGCTGAGCCTAGGTCATTACCCCCTGCTCAAAGGAAGTAATTATTAAAAATTAGAGAACTGGTTTTGGAAATACTAAAGAAAATTCACAGGAAGTTTTGTACTTTTTCCACTGCCAGAATAATGTTATGTATGACGGGGGTGGGGAAGGGGGACATTAACAGTCCTTCTCCTGGTTTCAGGATGATTCAAGGGCATTACATTTATTCCTAATATTATTACATCTACTCCACCTCAGATCATCAGGCATTAGATCTCAGAGGTTGGGGACCCCTGGTCTAAATGGTCTTATAATCGAACTGGTACTGAATGGTCAATGGGAGCCAATAAGAGAAGATTATCTTTAGATATATATTTTTTGAAGGAGAAGATTAAAGATAATATCAAAGATTATTAGTAAAGAAAATTAAAGATTATCTTTAATTTAAAACCAGGCATGACTTGCTGATTCCCCCAAAGATAGCACTCAGGGATAGTGTAG